GGAAACAAGAACTATTTTTGAACTCTTAGTCCAGCCATGGCAACGTGGGGTTCGGCACAGCTTACGTCACTTCGTTTCTGGACTGAGGTTTGTACCCTCCACTCCGCTCCATATTGCTGGAGCGAAATTGCTAGCAACACCCAATTAAAACAAGCACCGAATGTTTACTCCCCATCACTGCCGCTGCTTTGACTGCAGTGTAAACGCACCACTAATGACTTGGCCGATGGGAGGGGAAAATTACGTGTCAGAGCCAAGTACAGAGCCAGGAATTTGGGCTGTCAGCCAGCTTGTTAGATCACACTGTGTGCCTCTAATGAAATGCATTGATTTGTGACTCTTACAATAACATTTTTCGGAAATAATTTCTCTGGCTATTTATTTGTGTCTTGGAGCAGCCTGATGAAATTGGAAAACTAAAGCAAACGCTGTGCTTAGAAATCAAGAGCAAAATCTTAAGAATCAGATTAATTAACCATTGGAATAACTTTTCCTAAGGGCATGATGGGTTTTCCATCATATTCTGTTGCACACTCAATAGTGGTTAGCTGTACGAAATACACGCCATAGCTCCAGCAATTGTATCGCTAGAAATGACTGCCTGAAGTTCTTTGGGTTCTGTTACACCCGCGATGAGACCATGTTGTTGTAGTGGTCCCTCTTGATGATAAAAAAGCCCATGAGCGTGTGACAGCCATTGAGGCTGGGTGTTTGTGATTCTGTGCAGTAACAGACTGAGATCCCACAAGTGGTAGATTTAAAACTGGCAACAATTTTCATAGAGGGGACTACCAAATTACAAAGACGCATTCTGCAGCAGTGGACGCCCTGCCAATCCTGCGGCTGATAGAATGTACCGTGGTGAATTAGCGAGCTCAGAAAGAATTAACCCGTCAATAAAATGACAGACTTGGTACATTGCAAAGCATCTGGTCAGATCTCATGGAATTTCTTGGCTGCTACATGTGCAGTCAGAGAGAAAGAAATAGTGGGGAGAGACCATCATCGCCTTGTAGTATTTCACTGGATGCCTCAGGAGAGCAGATGGGGATAGTGAGCAGTGGATAAGGTAAGTGTTTATCTGCTTGGGGGTTTGTATGGACCCTTTCCTGGACCGGCTCCTCCTTAATATCCTTATAGATCTATATAAAAAGTTGTCTTTTTCTTGCCTGCTTACAGTTTATGGTTGGCTAAATTTCATAAATAACATTTTTTTTTCTGTGCGCTCAGGTGAACACAGCCTAGAGTTGCCAGACTTTAAGTACCCTGTGAAAAGCAACCCCCTTTAAAAAGTCTGATGTTACCTATCTAGAAATCGAGGCATCTAGAATCTCTAGTGCGTCCTCAAAGTCTGTGTTGCTGCATTTGATTTTTTTCTTTTCATGTCTACTTTCTATGTGGCTTTCGAATGACTGATAAGCACAAATATTAGAAAAAAAATCAGCCAAGACAGAATTATTTTAAGAAAAAAAGGAAGAAAAAAAAAAAAGAAGTTGGGGGGGGAAGTAGTTAGGTCCGAACTGATGGCAAGCTTTTTTGCTCATCTTTAAGATGCATTTACTTATTCCAATTCTATCGTTATTTCTGCCACAGACTTGATGTCTAGCAATGTAAACCGTTCACGTTTGAAAACAGAATTTGCCTTTAAATGTGCTTAGACTAGAAAAAAGACGCCTGGTGAGGTCATTTGCAGAGCAAGAGTTAATGCATCATGCAAACAGCTAAATAAAGGTTACAATCCAAGTGGAATTATTCAGAGCTCAGGAAGAAATCTGGCATTTGCAGTCTGTCACTAGTTTGAGAAGTCTGGCTCTCGCCGTGTCACTGCCACCCAGGGACATCCTCCTTTCTGTGTGGCAGGCAGCGCTGGATGCTTTTCCTGTAAAACCAGCAAAAACAGGAGCGTTGGGAATTGTCATGTGCGAGGAATGTGTGGAATGAGGGGTGAGTATGAGCCCGTCTTGGCCCAGGTTTCACGGAGCAACGTTATGAGTGTAAATAGCCCCTTTTCCTCTTCAGGACCGGCGAAGAGCCGATGCCAGGACAGCGTGTGACCCCTGACATCCCTGGGCAGGATTGCTCCCTGCAGGGCTACGAAGAGCCGGGTGCCTCTTGAGACCTGCCAGTTAAGTATTGACATTTTTGGGGTCCTACCTGAGAAGGGCTCCTCGCCCTTCTTTCCCACCAACATCCCCGGGGAGCTGAGGGTGTCACCTGGGGGCAGGATACACCCAAAGTACGTAGGTGATAAAAATGCATCACTTGTGAACGCCCGGCCTTTTTTAGAGTTGGCAGTCTTCATAGAAGTGTTGTGCTAAGGTTGTGTTTTGCATTTTGTTTCCTCGTTTTGTTTCTGTAAGCCAAGCTTTTGGCTGATTGTGCAGGAAATCAACTGCTATGGGCATTCACTTCAATGGGCGAACTTTAAATGAGTCACCAGGGACCCGCTGCTGCCGAGCTGAAAGAGAAAGAGACACTCAAAACCTCTAGCCAAGCCAAGATATGGCGGGAAATATCAAAGAGGCGAAAACTGAAAGGCACAGTAGGGTGAAAGACAGATACAGCTTGGTTTTCCTGTCCATAACTGGTCAGATTATGGCAAGGTTGGAATGGAGATTAAAAAACAAAAACAAAAACAAAACCGACGTAAAATTTTGCTAAGGGAAGTTTGTTGAACATCAGGAAACGTGCTCTGGTGTTGATGTTCCATGAGCTGTGTGCAATAATCTGGGGATGGAAATACACTGAGGAAGTTAATAGGGTGCTTGAGAAAATATTGGAAAATGTATTAGAAAGAATAGTTCTGTGCAGAGCAGAAGGTGGAGCAAATGCCCTGCTAAGCTCCTGCATTCATTCCTCTTTTCTTCTTTCCCCTCTGATTTCAGAAGTCTCCCCAGGCTCAGATAACTCAAAGAGAAGGACCCGCACCCTGTCTCGCAGGCAAGGTAAAGAGGTTGTGGTCATAAAAATGGAAAAAAAAGAGGAAGATGGGGGCGGGGGGGAGGGAATAAAGGGACGGAAGAGAAGTCTAAACTTGGGTGTTGCTTCCCCCCAGCACACACGTGAGCAGCAGAGTCCCAAGAAGAAGACTAGAGAAAGGTTGCCATCTTCTGGAAGGATAAATATCTGCCATTACTGAGAATACTCAATCTGATCTACCATAGCATATTTCCGATAAATTTATTTTTCAACCTGAATTCTCATCCATATAAATCCAATGCAGTCTCATTTCATCGATATATATGCCGTGATCTCAGCTTTAGAAACTGACATAGCATCCTGGATTTTAATAAGACTCTCATCTCATCAAGCTTAAAATTAGGAGCATGTTAACATTAAGGATTATCAGTAGGGAGACAGACTTTATCTATTCTTGAGCCTGAAAACCAGGCTTTTTTTACTGAGCATTTAGATGCCAAACTTAAGGTGTCCAGATGCGGAGAAACTGGACAATGGAAAAATAAAAATAAATTACAACTCTCTTTTTAAGCAGCATCAGCTGTTATTCTACCTACTTCAGTAAATTAAGTACATCTATGTCAAACAGAACCTTTTTATTAATCAAAAAACCCCTGCAGGCAGTCCATGGAGCACGAAAGCATTTAGCGTTACTTTCAGTTAGCCCGTCTTAGAAATGATTATCTCTATTAGAGGAGTTTATGCAGTGACTAGGATTAAAATAGCCGCAGAGCTACCGACCGTTCTGCTCAGGGCAGGAAGGGTCAGGAGCCGGAGAGAGGAGAGACCACGTGTGGGGCCGTGAACCGGTCGGGTCTGCTGCCTGTGCGGTGCCGGGGCTGCCGGAGGCCGTGCCGTCACCCCCAGCTCTCCGTACCCCTGTCCCCGCGCTCCGCTGGCGGGATGAGAGGAGACGGAGCGCTGGTTTCCTCTGTCGCGGGGGAGCAGCAGGGCAGGCACGCAGGGAATCTGCCCTGCTCCCTGCCCACGGCGGTGGGATCCTCACCCGTGGTGCGGACCTTCGGGATGCTCCTCTCCCCTGCCACTTGCCCCATGCCCTCCAGTGACAGTTCCTTCCCATGAGAGGGGATGCCGTTCTTACTTTTCGCTGTCCTGATACCAAACGGGGTGTGTCGGCACCCTCGGGTAGTGTGAGAGCCTTTAAACTTTCAGGAGCAGATCTCAGAGGGGACTAGGAGTGAGTGTGAATCTTTCTCTCTCTCCGTACCAGCTTCCCAAATCCATCCGATTTTTGGGGTTCCTGGTGAACTTCGCGCCTTGGTGAAAGCTGCCACTCCGAGGGACACTGACGGTCTTCCCCACGCTCCCATCCTTTGAGTATCGGACGTGTTTGACTTGTCACTGTTTCGCATTCCTCTGTCACGGCCGCGGTGCCGTGGCGCCAATCTGCGGCTCAGCAGCGCTTCTGCTAAGGGGCTCCTTCTGTCATTAAAATCTCCAGTGCCGGTGGGGAGAGCTGGGTTGGCATCTCTTCAGGCTCTGAAATCCTCAGAGCAGAAGCAGTCACATAAACTTTCCTCTCCCTGTTTTTCTCTTCTCCCCTTTCTGCGGTGGGCAGGTTTGGCCAGGAAGACGTCCCAGGGCTGGGGGGCTCGTGGCCATTGCCGTTCCGCTGAGACGGCCCCGGGCAAGGGGTGAGCTGATGCCAAGGGTGCTGGTAGCCTCTGAGCCAAGGTCACTTGTCCCCTGAAGCACCGGCCAGAGAGCCACCAGCTCGCTCCGGTCAAGCTCCCGAACAGCCACCGCATGGGGATGGCCGGGACCTTTCTGTGTTCTACGGAAACTTTCTGCCCAGTCAACACAGGTCACCCTTCCGCACTTAATCCCGGCCCGCGGCACCAATCGCTTCCCCGATAATCTCCCAGAACAGCTGTGCTCTGATTGCATTGTGGATTAGGAAATTACCATTTTCCACAAAACAGCTGCTGGCTGGAGGGATAGCATTTACTAATCACTGCGGGGGCAAGGGAGGAGGGGAGGAGGCGAAGGAGAAAGGGGTTTTGAAGCAATTTGGTTTCTTGGAGGATCTAGGGATGAGCGAAACAGCAGACAAAGCGTGAGTCCCATTTCGGTGTTGCTCCTCCAAATTCACAGGACTTCGAGGACTTGCTGCCAAGGTAAATTCAACTTTCTTTCCTTTTGGGGCTGTCTAGATGTTGTGGGCGGTTATTGTCAGTAAGTGCTTGGCTTTTATGGAGGGAAACTTCTCTGACAATGTTCTCATGAAGGAGCAGGTCAGAGTTACTTCTCATTCCCTGTGTCCTCTGCATCCTTGATCCAGTTCCTTCTTCTGACTCATTTGTTTCTTACATTTTTTTTCCTTTGTCCTTATGGTTTGTTCTGAAATCATATGGCCTTTCAACTACTATCACAAATCAACTGGAGAGAATATTTTTCCCACTATAGAAGATATTGAAATTAGAAAAATGATTTTTGTCACTATTATGAGAGGAGCGATTTTTTTAAAAATAAAAGCATATGCAAACCAAAACCTGATGACAGAAAATCTTATAATCAAGCATTGATGAAAAACTGGAAAACTTTGTGTGCTGAAGGTTTCTATTTTCAGATCAAAAATCATGCTTTTGAGGAGAGCAATTTTATCTATAATTTCCTTTTCAGTCATAAGCCAAATTTTCCACTGAAAAAACTTTCAGTGAGGAATTTGCCACCAACTTTGGCTAGAAACTTTCACATAATTAACTGTTCCTAGTAGGTATCTGCTCTGTGAAAACGGTGATATCCATCATGCCTTCAGATCATGGAAGTCATCAGCTATGGTGTCGCTCAGACGTTACCATCTCCAGGGTGCAGCATCTCCATTGCTGAAAGAAAGAAATGCTCTGGTGAAGAGACAAAAGAAGCCAGAGCATAAAACAATACAGGAATTTTTCAGGAGCTGGGTATTTTCTTGCCTTCGATGAGGGTGTTCTGGATCAAGCCCTGTTTTCTCAGTGTGATGAGGTGCTAATGAAGCCCTGCTTTCTGAGAGGAGCTTCAGCACCGTCTTTATTGACCACATTTCCCAGCTGGCTGGTTAGCAGAACAGATGCTTTGGATTGCACCGCTTTTAGCTGTGGTGCAGTCACAACAACGCAAAGCTCAGGCTCGTATCGTTTATTTACAGTAGTGTCCACAATGTGCTGGGCCTTTCTCACACATTCAACGTTGGGCAAGTCAACCGAAGTTATGTGAAGAGGACCGGCAGCAGGCGATGTCGGTACAAACTGAATCTATTCACAGGCAAATAGATTTTGAGAGTCATAAATGGGAAAGGGTGGGAGTATCTGGATGAAGTTGTGCCAAACATAGGGAGCGCCATGTGGGAAGAGACACGCATTGATTACATGAAAGTTGATGTGTGGGTAGATGACATCTAATCAATCCATGGAGTGGTAAGTTGGGGTTCTCAGAAGTCAGCGCAGGGTTTTGCAGGAGCTGTAAAGCTTCCCTCTGAGTGAGAAAGACCACAGGACCCTGGCACACAAACTGCTGCCTGAATTACTTTTTCTAATGAGACGAAACCGGGACGGAGTGTTTGGGGCAATGTTTGCCCTTACAAAAACCAACCCTTTGGCACTCTGTGTGATGGCAGGGACGCTGCCATCCCACCGCCCTACCAAATTTCTGGTGTGCAGAGCAGTGCCTGCCCAGGTGGGAGGTGCTGCTCCGGGTCTCAAACTTGAGCTGCCAGGTCCGGGTAGCCGGGTGTCCCTCCCGAGCGGGTCACTGCTGCGATGTGTGACCTTCACTGATCCGGGGACATTTTCCTGCCTCTCCCCACTGTGAGGGCAATGCACTCCCTACCTCCCGAGGTAGAGTAATGAACTGCTCGAAAAAGTGTTTGGGGACACTTGGCAGCAAGAATTCTCACTGAGTTGAACAGAGCATTCATCACACCCCATCTAAAGGCAACTCATGGTATTTGGGGAAGTTGGTTTTTCCCTACCGTGTCTGAGATGGAGTGAATATGATGTCCCTTTCGTTCTGCCCATGTGCTCACACACCCCAAGGCACCCATCCCTGCTGTGTCTACCGGCTCACCCTCTCCTCCCTGGTACCGATACTCAGTGTACTTTGAAGTGGTTGCAGCTGATCTGTTGCTCCATGGCCTTGGCTTTCAGGGAATGGTTCTTCCATGCTGGGTGATCTGCTGGGCTGTCGTGAGGTGGGCAGAGGGCTCATATCCCGTCCGTCCCCACAGGGATTCGTAAGGCTAGGTGGGACAAGTGGCCGGTGTGGCAGTCCCTCCCGTTTGTGTGTTGCAGATGGAGCTGCTGAAGGGATTGCCGTGGCGTCGTGCTTTCCTGGCTGTCATCCTCAACCTGCTGGCTCTCAGCCTCTCCACCACTGCCTTGCTCAGCAGCTACTGGTGCACCGGGACCCAAAAAGTGCCCAAGCCTTTGTGTGGGAAGAGCAAAGCCACCAAGTGCATCGGTGTCCCCATGCCGCCCGACGCAGGTGCTAGCAACATTTCATCCCAGGATGTGGTGCACTACAGCTGGGAGACCGGGGACGACCGCTTTGCCTTCAGATACTTCCACACGGGGATGTGGCTTTCCTGTGAAGAGAGCATGGAAGGGCCAGGTAGCGTCTTACCCGGGCGGCCACAACTTCTTTCCTTGTATTTATTCCACAGGAGTTTGGAAATGAAAGGCGGGATGCTGACAACACTGGGGAGAAAAGCCTGCTTCATTTTGCTAGATGGCATCGGCCCTGTGCGCTGCTGTGGTCATATTCCTGCCGTTTGGGTTGTTTGCAGAGGGAGGCAAGGGAGAATGGTTGTCCCTGGTGTGCCCTTCGGTCTGGAAGAGGGGCTGTGAAGTGCAAGTGGTGGTGATGGCGGCGGTGACTTTGCGATGGCATCGTTCAGTCTGATGTGAACTGGCGTGAGCCTCCTTTCCCTTTCCCCGTAACTCCATTCCTGTACACGGCTTGCTCCATGCTCTCCAGGGCACATTTGTGCATGTCCCCTCAGAAATCTAAGCAGGTCGATTTTATGCAGTGTTGTCAATTTATAGTTATCACTGTGAGCACTGCAATAGCTGGTCTTCTCCTTAAATCACCAAACTGAGAGGTTTTGTGAATCGAACAGGGACTGTTTTGCTTAAAAAAAATTAAAGAGAGTACTGCCTTATAGATACAGAGAAAACTTGGAGGATCTGAACCCAGAGGAACTAAAGCCGGGAGGCAAACTGACCTGAGGATCAGGGCTGCAGCATTGTAATTTTTTTTAGCTGTTTTTGTGATATCATGACAGATTTCCTTTGTGATTTTTAACTGGCATGTGGGACTGGCACTGTGAAGCCTGGAGTGCCAGGGGCTGGTGGTGCAGGCTGTGCCAGACCCCTTTGGTGCCCACCTCCACCCTTGGCTTGCTCCTGCCCAGCCCTGCTGAAGCCCTTCTGCCGAAACCTGTGCCACGCCAGCGCAGGGGGATGCTCTGCGGTGCACAGATGCTCTTTACGGCCTGGCACACACATCAAGGACCAGAATCGACCCCGAAGGTGGCCAACAGGGAGATTCGTATCTAAAGGCACAGTGATGAAAGTCGCTTTCATCAGGCCCACTCCCCTGAGCCCCCCGCCCCTCCTTCAGCTCTCCCCAAGCACAAACATCTCACCTTCTTTAACTAAGCCACCGTTGTAGCGTAGCGTTTCTCATTTTCTTATCTATTGCTGTCAGAGTTTGAAAGTAAAGACCTGGTGAATAAAAGCAGACAGAAGGGGGGGTGGGAGCAGGAGGGAATGTGCTCAAAACTCTCATGTCCTAATGAGAGGGCTGCTTCGTTATGAGCATTTCCAGACATGCTGTGGAAGGAGATGTGTTTTTTGGGGGGCTGGTTTGGGCTGGGGTGTGTTTCTGTGGTGGTGTTCGGGCAAAGGTTGGACTCGATGACCCCCGGGGTCTCTTCCAACCTCATCGATTCTGTGATTCTGCTGTTCCATGGTGCTGGAGGGAATGGGGCTACATCCCTTGTCAGCTTTCTCTGAAAGACATGTCTGCTCACCGGGCAGTCCTGGAATAACCCCGATGCCTGAAGGAACGCAGAGAGCACGTTAACATCTGGATCGCAGCAGAGCACGGGGTGGAGCGCGGAGTCGGTCTCAGTCCCCTGCTTCCCGTAAATCGAGGACATCCCACCCGCTGCTGTGGGTCTTTGAAGCAAGTGCATAGACAACAACAGCGAAAAAAAAAGGGGCTACTATGAGCAAAAGGAGTTTGAGTTGAGCTGGAGAAAGGATTTCATTATTCAGGCTAATCTCGGGGTCAGTTTAGATGAGCCATTACTGAATAACCTCATTAAAGTTCCAGGTGAAGTAGCAAGCCACAAGTTAATGAGGACCGCAGATGGCACTAAACTGGGTAGCGTCCTGAGAGCTGTGGATAACAGAAGTAATACAGGAGATTGGGAGAGATTAGAACTGGGGACAGAAATTAAGAAAATGAGATTCTTACATGAAAAGCAGCAGGCTGATACTTCTGGGAGAAAATACTGTGCCAAGTAGAGGAGAGGACCCTCCAATGCAGTAACGCAGTATGCAGAAAGAGAGACTTACAGATAATAATGATGGATCCTCGGCCGAGACAATGGTTTGCATCTGGCCAACATAAAAAGCCATAGCAAATATATGAACACCATTTGTCCAAATAGCGCGCCTAAAGTATGAGGACAGAAGGTCCTATTTCTCTGTGATTCTCTGCCACAGAAGAGGGACTCACATCTCTGTCGCGCAGCATTTCACTTGGGAAGATTTTTTTTTTTTTTTTTCCTTTCTTCTTTGGGAAGCAGTGCTAGAACTGCTCTGCTGAGACTGGGGTGAGAGGGAGGTCACGTCCGCAGCAGAAGTGGTGGTGGTCCTGCCGTCTGTTACAAGGTGCACCCTTAACAGGCCTGACCAACACAAGTGTTGTGAATGAGTAGCAACAGATTTCTATATTCACCAGAGGCTCGTAAGATTTATGAATTGCTGAAGTTTTTTTTTCTGGAAAGGCCACTTCTGTTTTTCCAGGCAGACATTGCCTTCCCCTGCCTTGCTCCAGTGAAGGTCTGGGAAGATGGTCAGCAAGAGAGCAGAGGGGAGAAGATCTGACGGGCAGACTCAGGGATGGCCGGAGCTATGCAGCAAAAAGAGAATGGGAGGAAGAGATTTGCTTTTCCCTTATGTACCCTGCATTGTTTTGCAAACTAACATCTTTATTTTTGTGTTTCAGAAGAGAAATGCCGTAGCTTTATTGAGCTTTCACCACCAGCAGAGAGAGGTAAGAGCAAATCCCCGTACCTCACTGTAGCTGCCCAGCGAACCTCCTTGGGATGGGGGACCTGCAACATTTCCCCGGTGTCAGGACCGCAGGGTGGGTCCCCAAAGAGCCAGGCATGAAATCCTGCCCTCAAGGTTGCTAAAAGAGCAAAGATTTCCTCCCAGATGTTTGCCGAAACCATCTGTGAGGGCAGTGCTGGAAACATCAGACCCGCTCCCATATCAAGTGGGATTTGTCCCAGCTAATAAGTTGCCCGGTCTGAGCTTGTCATCTTGCCGCAGTCAGCGGAAGGGGATGGAAGCCACCTGAGGGCAGTCCCTCAGTCCCTCCCACACGTGCTACGCGTTGACTCGGTGCTTCAGTTTTGGGGTCTAACGTGATGACTCCAAGCTGAATGACCTCTTACTTTATGGTAAGTGATCAGGACATCTGCAAGTTACACTTGCAGGGTGAAGTCCTTGCCTCATCACTTGGGTTGGCGAGCTCACCCCTCCTGTCATCGGCACGTGTTTCAAATCATCCTGGGGATAACTTCAGTATACCTGGATGTACGTGTACATACGCAACGGAGATTTTACTTACTGGAAGCTTTTCAGTTGGTGTGGGCTGTTCCCTGAGATGGAGGCTGGAGGCAGGTCATTTCAGGGGATGTTCGTGTGCGAAGGGAAAGGCCTGGGGTGCAGAGCCCGTGCCAGCGTTCGAGCCATGAGAGCCAGGGCTGGAACAAACGCTGGGGAATCACAACAGCCAGAGGGGAGATGAGTACTTTTGGGGAGCTCATCTTTTTCTGCCTTGTTTCCCCTATTTTAAAAACATAAATCGACATGCGTTCGCAGGCGAGGGCTCCGGTGTGAGTGGTCTGCAGCGGCATCGCTGTGCGGAATAACCTGGGTCACTCTTGGCACAACAGCAGGGTAGAAAAACCTCCCCTGCTTATTCTTTTGGGAAACAGTATTCACACAATACAAATATTGCTGGTCTTACAAGATCATTTTGAAGTCATGCAGATCTCCACTTTGTCATAAAATGAATGATTTAACTGCATTTACTGAATGACTCTTGCCTTTACTGCAAAATGCTCACTTCACAGGGAGTAGCAATGCATTTTTCTTCTTTCTCACCTTCTTGTGCTTCGTTCCCTGCCCAGGCCTCTGGCTCTGTTGCTTCCAATGTCTTCCTCATAGAGTGTTTTCCTAAGAAAGGAGGTTTGCGCAGCCAGATTACGTGCCTTTGTAAATCTGTCTGTCTCTCGCACCCCTCCTACTGCTCCTTGTCTAATCGCAGCCCAACGCTGATAGAAAAGCTGTGTTCTGTAAGACATTGAGCTCCTACAAATTAATTAGAAGATCACTGTGAGCTTAAGCATGGCACTCAGAGGGACACGGTGGTCTTTACAGCTCTGTCACCTGCTGTCGCCCCTTCCCGCACACAGCATCATCCCAAGATGACCTTGGCCTCCAGCACAGCTGTCGTTACAGAGTTGGGCCAGCACTGGAGAAGGCGATGTGGCTGCTGGCCGCAGGCTGGGCTGGCTGTGTGTGCGGAGCAGCTCCACGTCACGTAGGCAGCATTGCAAGACCAGGTTATGTGCTGAGCCTGGACTCCCAGGGAAAGTGGTGCAGAGACCTCCGTGCATGTGTGGTGCCTGCAGCCCCCCGGACACCTTCAGCAGTCTTACCTCTAACGAAATAGTCTCCCTGATGGTGCTGCAGCAAGCAAGCCAGCTCCTTTAAGCAGGGAATGCAACTCATCAATTCCCGCTAAAGAGCTGGCTGACTCCATGGCACTAATCGCCTTGAGGAGTCAAGTCAGTGCCACATTAATGAGGGTTTTCTTCACACTCCTTTTTCCCAGTTGAATGTCTCCTCTACGGCCATTAATAGTCGCTAACAGTAGTGTTCACGGTGCTGCTTCATTTATCAGATTAATATTTCTTCCTCGGCAAATCCTGTGCTTTTCCACAGCCCAGCATTACCAAGTGCCTTTCCCCATTCTCCTCCAAGCCCTGCCGCACAGTGAGCTCAGCCGTGGACTGTGGTATCACTTAAGTCCCACTCATAATCCCAGCCTGAAAGTACTGGCACTCCGTTCGAGCAGCAGAGTGAGTGGTGAATGTTATTGCCCTAACTGGATGTACCACCCCAAGGAATGTAGTTTCATTCTAATTGGGGTTTCAGTGAGAAATACCGGTGTCCAAGGGGCTTCCTGAATTTCAGAGGCCAGGTCCCAGCCGAAGCTGTGGATGCACCATGCTGTTCTTTACTTAACCAGTTGAGTCCCAGGTTAAAAGTCGTCTGCTTCCATTGATGTGATTAGAAACCAACTCTGAAGGTCACTACGCTAATGAGTGAGAACCTTCTAACATCCAGCCCAGAGCTGTTTGCAGCCAACCGACGACTACTAGGTCTTGTGCTAATACTCACCAGCTTTCCCCTGTCTTTTTCCCCTTGGTTTCCTCCCGGCTGTTTATGAATAACGCTGGCTTGTTTACAGACAGCACTCCAGTTCCTCCCAGCCTTTGCCATGTCAGACTAGCCAAGCCATCTTCTGTGACAGACTCCCTGTCCCCTTCAGCATCCTTTGAGCCCTTGCTCGCAGGCTGGGGGGATTGCTTTTGGGTGTGTGTTGTTTCCCTTCTTTCCAAAGGACATCCCTTCAGGGTTGGGTTGGGAAGGGGGAGGACTCTCCCTTGAACAAGCCATCCTGTGTTGATGTGAGAAGTCTCTGGTTCCCGGCAGGAATCCTGTGGCTGTCGCTGGGATCAGAGATGTTGTACATCAGCTTGCTGCTCATCAGCTTCATCCTCCTGATGGTGGAAATGCTGCATACTGGCAATCCTGTCTGTGGGCTGAAGCTCAACGCCTTTGCTGCTCTCTCCTCGGTGCTGTCAGGTAAGCGTTACTGCAGGCGTGGAATGCCAGCAGCAGGAGAGCCTCCTCTCCCACACAAGGCTGAAGGATGCTGCCCTGGCTCCTGCTGTAACTTCTTTGCTTTCTTGTCTTTTGTCTCCAGGTCTCCTTGGGATGGTGGCACACATGATGTACACTCAAGTCTTCCAGGCAACGGTTAATCTGGGACCAGAGGACTGGAGACCGCACTCATGGGACTACGGCTGGGCATTCTAGTACGTGAGCTCTGAAGCCATCTTCACCTTCCCGGCCTTTTGGGCTTCAGCCATGCTACACCCTGCCGAAACTCACCTCCTCCTTTCTTGACCCTCTGTGTTTCCAAAGACAGGTGCATCATGGCCCTCCTACTGCTAATCTAATCTCCTGTCTTTGCCTCATCCCCTACTATAACAAATAGTTGCCAAGTTACTTAAATGAGTGGCTACCAAGGACTGGTAAAACACCGGGGTGGCACCTAAACAAGTGCCTTCAAGCCTGCTGACTGATCAGGCTGGCCCCTGTGCTGATTTGCCCTGTTTGGGCTCAGCTCTTCCCGCAGGCCGGTGTCTCACTGGCGATGATGCTCTCAAACATGCCTTGTTTTTCTGCAGTTTAAGTAAATGGCATGCTGGTTTGGCACCTTCACTAACCAATGTCCAAAGGGCCTATTCCCGCAGCACCAAGCCTAGATGTGTGCTCAAAGATGTGGTCACTGTAGCCAGGAGGAGCAGCGGCAAGAAGCAGCTGGCTCAGGGTTCCTTTCTCCAAAGCCTAAAGCAGCCGACCGCAGCTGATACGCCACAGCCGACTTGAAAAACAGCGGGATGAGCCTCGCAAGGACAGCGCAGGCTCACCTGGCAATGCTGTACTGATGATGACCACGTTGATTCTTAAAACACTCGAGTGCCACGTGCCAGCCTGTGGACATCCAACGTCGGCACGGCCATCTCGTTATGCTCCAGCAGACAGGTCGCATGTCCAGGAAGACACGGAGCAGCCCTGCAATACGCAACTTGCTTCCAAGCCGTGCTGTCCTGCCCTGACCAGCTGCGGGCTTTCCTGCTGCTGTTTTTATTTTCCCTGTACCCCTCCCTTCCCTCTGACAGGGATGACCAGTATTTACCCCACCGATCTAAGAAGGATCGTGTGGCGGGATAACCCCCAAGAACTGTCATGTTACGAGCCTTAGTCTTTCTAGTTCATGTCCGTGCCCAGCAGCTTCTGCCTGGCAAACTGGGATGCATCACGGTGCGTGCAGCTCAATTCCTGACCCTGCTTGGCTTCTCACCGCCTGTGCTCTTCTTGTGTCTCCCCTGCAGCATGGCCTGGGCCTCCTTCACCTGCTGCATGGCCTCTGCCGTCACCACTCTCAACACCTACACCAAGACGGTGCTGGAGTTCAAAAGGAACCACATCAAGGGCTACACTGGGAGCTTCAAGGATCAGCCTCAGCACCACCAGTGCTTCATACAGCAGCAAATAAGCAGCTACTACGAGCCCCACGACAAGCCCCTCCACTCCGTCTCCGAGGGAGTCGACTTCTACTCCGAGCTGCAGCAGAAAGTGCTACAGCGGGAACCAGAGCTGGAGCTGGACGAGGTCTTGGGACAGACAATCGGGGAGGATCGCTGTTAGGGATGAGTGCGCAGGGGCAGAGAAGCGGGGTTTGGGAGGTACAAAAGCTCCGAACCAAACACTGGCACCACTGTTAGCAAGTTCTTGGGGAGCTCTTCCTTCCGCTACGGCTTGGGGAGCGAGAAGAGAGGGTGGGCGCTGGGCCAGGGCAACAGCAGTGCCAACAGGAGCAGGGTGATCCTCCCTGACCCCCGTCTGATGGGTGTCCTCAGCTGGGAAGGGTGAAACTGGAGGGACGCCTTGTTGGTGCCAGCCGTCTCCAGGCCCTTCCAGCGAGCGCGGAGGCAGATGTCCTAATCCCGGCGGTATTGCACCCGGGACCAGACGGTCAGTGCATCCAGCTGGCAAACTGCAGTGCTGGGCCTCTTTGGGTGGCGTCACATTCACCTTCCAGCAACCCCCCGGTTCAGTGCTATGGTGAAGGGTATCGGTGCTCCTACGGACTGGCTGTAACCCCCTCTGAACACCCTATTCATTCGCCATTTCCAGGCCCAACCTCCTCTTCTCCCTGCCCCCAGATTAAAAGTGCTGCTGCAGTAGGAATGGGGGTTGCTTTCAGCCATCTCTCTCCTCTTTCCTATCTGTAACGACTCCCACACGCTCCCTTCTTGCTTTTTCCCCCCAAATCTCCCATTCTAAGGTACCTTCCTGTCTGTCTCTTTCTACTGTGCTTCTCCACAACCTTTAAGAATCCTCGGCTGGGCTTTTGCTTTTCTCTTCATCTGTCCCCTTTTCCCCATTGTAAAAATATCGCAAACAATCCCCAAATCGAGCAAACTCATAATCTCTCAAAGGTGAAACACTGGTTCATGTGACACATGATGCTGTACACAGTATTTATTTGCTCCACTGCAGTTCACAGTTCAAATACATTTTCCCAACAATATACAGATAGACTCTTTATTCACAGCGGGGATGTGTGTGTGTGCGGGCAGGATGAATTCACATTGTGGAGGAGCTAACATCACTACACTTGAACATCAGTTCTCTCAGGAAGAACCTCAGGAGAATAACTACTTCAGGTAACAGTCGCTTCACCTTTTCCAGCAAGGTGGTGGCTAGACAGGAGGGAAGAGGCACTCCTGTTTAATCCTCACGTGTAACTGGTCCTCACACTTTCAGTCCCTATTATGCAGCTGTATTAACTGACTATATATTATAAACACCAACCCCTGTCTAGAGGAAAACGCCAGGCCTAGAGCCGTTGCTACAGTTGTGCTAATATATACAAAGCTATTTACACAAAAATGCCATTAAACATATACAAACTGTTCACAGGCTCTGACATCAAGAGAGCAGGGCCCAAGGACCGGCCTTGGGGCTTGCAGCTAATCCTGAAGGGCTACCATGGAAGCTTTACATGGAGACGCAGGGATGGAGAAGACAGAGGGTGATAAAGCAAGGAGAGGTGTCAAGAGCTCAGGAGAGCAAACCCACGGTAGAAGTGCACATCTGGAAGGAAGGTCAAAGCCCTGCCAGCACCTCACCACTCCCAGGGCAGCGCGGGGAGGCTGGCAGGACACGTGCCAGGGGGAGGACAGAGGAATCCTTTGCAATCCTCACCTCACCCTGGCTCTGCCTAATGTCAAACGCCAGACCTAGAAAGACATACTGGGAAAACAGTCCCCACCTTCTTGCTCTGCACCGTGGGGAGCTGCTGGGGCACCAAGTGGTTGCTTTTTAATATAGTCATTTCTGTTACAAGAAAATTCATGTAGATGCTCTGCAACTACAGGAGACTGATGGCACACTCGGAGGCACAGTTCAAAGTGGGAGCAAATGTGCCCCGGGGCTAGTCCGTTCCCCCTGGAACTGCACACAAGGCTGGGCTGGCAAGGGAAATGGTAACGCTGAGCCCAGAATAGGAGTTAAAACAGACAGAAAAGCTTTCCAGTTCTGCCTCTGTCTGAGCCTCTAAACCCTGAAGCAGTGGTGTGAGAATCAGCTTTGCTGTGACTGGATCTAGTGGGATCTCTGCAGTGCCAGTGGGGATCTGCTGCGAATCTATCCCAAAAGGGCTGTGATGCATTTGCAAAGGGGGACTCGGCCCATTGGACTGCCAGTGACACTTGGCGTTCATAAAAAGCTTAGGGATGGATAGAACTAAGATGTGAACCTTTTGCTTCTACAGGACACACATGAACCTGTCCTGAGCTTGGGACTGGGGAAAGAAATGCACAAGTGCAACGGCTGGGAAATGCTGTGGGAACCATCTTTCCCTCGATCAGGTAATTCAGCCAGAGAGTTAGTTTGTTTATGAGTTTGGGGACAGAAAGGAGAAGAGGGCTGGGAGCACCGGAAAGGTTGTAGACAAGACTAGCCCTGCAGGAGCTAGACAGAGGCTTCTCTCCAAAACCAGAAAGATTAAAGCACATGGTGTCCTTTAGCCACACTATTTGCCTCGAGTCATCATGGCCCACTCTAGGCCTAGAGCTTGTTTGACTGCCTGGGAATACTGTTTGGACATAAAAAGGAGTGTCCTAAATCTCATTCATAAATTAAACATACAAAAAATATACATATATTGTATAAATTGATACACATATATATAAAACTTGGTTTTATATATATATATCTATCTGTATATAAATTCTAAATTCACATTTCTGTGTTACCTGGAAGGAAGCATGCAAGAAGGGCACATGAAGGGGGAGAAGTTCAACAAGGTTCCTCTGGTACAGGACAGGTCTGCCTAGGACAAACCTGCCTCCAGCAGCATTCCCCAGAGAGCTGAAGAAAGGGGAAGCGCTTTTCACCCCCATTCCCTCTACACAGCAGTTTTCCTGAAGATCCACAGAGCAGCTTCCTGTATTCGCCATACAGGTCACAGGTCCAACCAAAACCTGAGGAAGCACCAGGCTAGAGCTGGAGAAGGAAAGGCAAACAAAAACTAAAGCCAAAACCTATTATCATCCAGTCTGGTAGAGAAAAGTGGCAATTCACAGGTCAGCAACTGAACCTGGGAGGACCCTTGTTTGCCCATGTCAAAACAAATGATCTCTGTCCCACCTCTCTGTTCCCTCTGTAAGTCTCTCAGTCCCTTAGGATCATCGTCCCTGGTCCTTTCTAAGATCCCCCTCCTTGTCAAACTGCCAAAGTACAGCTCAGCCTCACAGTCTGGTCAGCTTATGCCCAAAGGTGCAGCCAGTCACCCTGCAGTCTCTTTGCATCCCACCAGACTCTTTGCATCCCAAAGAATACCTAAGTGTGTCTGTAGGGAAGAGATTAGATGTTTTCAAAGGCCTGGATTTCATCAGGGATTCCTGCACAATCTCACCTTCTGAGGAAAGTCAACGAATTTCAGCCGGGCAAGAAACCGCCTCACTTCTCCACGGCTGACTTTGGGAGTGGTGGTGTCCTTTAGCCACACCATTCGACCTTGACTCATCATGGCCCACTTCAGGCCCAGCTTGCTGACAGAAAGAAATCCTGGCTGCTTTTCAGAGGTTGCAGTTGTTGTCACAGTGATGTGAAATGCATCCTTCTGGAGGTCGTTAATTCCAACTGGTCCATCAGAAAAGGGTGACAAAATATTGGTGAGCAGTAAATGATGATGTTTCTTCCAAAAGAAACCTTACACTCTGTACTCAGTCAAAACATCCACTGGACTGAGGGTATACGCAGTCTGACTTTACAATTTCATGTACCTTAGTTAATCAGGGAAAATGATCTTAAATAAAAAATTTTCCATGGAAATAAACTGAAATTTAGATCAGAAATGGAAGGGTTTGCTTCCAGGTGATGTTTCTGAGCTTGACATAGGAGATGCACATATTTCAATCATGCAGTTCATTTTCAGAGAGCTTTCCTTCCCACACCTGTTAGCAGCTATTATTTTACCTCTACAGAAGGAGAAATTGGTAAAGCACGGGCAAGTCAGTTCACTCCAGTCACTGCAGAATGATCTGTACAGACCTCAGAAATCCCAGTTTCTAATGCACCCCTCTAAAAATGATATTCTCTTTGTTCTTGACTGAGCTGCGTTTTTGATACAAATCCAATTAGATGCATCACTATGTAGCAGCTTTTCTGCGCTTCCTGGCATACAGGACTCAGTGCTGGATGAACTGATCTTTTATCCCACATCGTGCCATGCTCAACAGGTTGGCTGTTGGCTGAACTGCTTTAGAAAGAGCAAGGAAATCCAACAGGGACTGTAGTGTCTTGCATAGATGATAAATCCAGATCTACTTTTCCTTGAAAACACATGTTTAAATATTTTGGATTCCCCCTCTTAAAAAGAAAGAGGAAGAAGCAGCACAGCTGCTATCCCAGAGAGCATGACAAAATGGTCAACAAAGGCAGAAGTGTATCTGAAGTGACACAGAAAAGTTTCATAGTGATTCTTCATGCACCACCTTAAATCATAAATAGCTCCATGGAAGGCAAGGGAACTTCTCTGGTGTAAAACATGCCCGAAACCAAACTTGGACCTTTCCTTGCTTAAACATGTGCAAGAAACTTGGTGCGTCTTTTATTTGCAGAGTAGGGGTTGGACAGGACCTTCCTTCAGGAGGAAGATGAATCTTATTTCCCATTGCTGGCCTACATGTGGTGGACCTCAGGTGCTACCTGTAAAAGCCCAACTACATCCCATTGTTTCTCACAGCTACCTCTCCCTCCATATTTCTTTTAGCCTAGGTAGTTCCTCCTCCATTTGTACTCACCTGCTGAAGCAATTACTTTGTCTGTTGCATTGGTGAGGTCCAAAAGGACTGTAGGAAAAACAGGATGGAGGAGATAGAGGTGGTGCAGCCTTGGGCGCTCAGGTCTGGGACCAGGTTGCTGTTGGAATGAAGGACAGATAAAAACATTACATCTGGCTAGCAAAGAGGAGCCTAGCCTTGCCAAAGAAAGAAAGTAGTTTTCTGACACTGCGCTGCCTTTACATGGATCAGAGAATCAAAAACTCTATGATTTTACAGAGATAGAAGGTTTATTCCTAAAACAGAATTGCTCCACAACTTCTGTTTGGTAAGGCTGTGATCTGGCTCTGTTAA